TAGATTGGTGCCAAGTGATCCAAAATTGTGACCTTCACACAAACACACACACACATTTGAGTAGAGGACATGGTGAAGACCCTTTGAGGATACCACTCCAGTGCTGCAACTTGTCTCACAGGAGAATAATGTGTGACTGTTAGCACCTCTTGTGATGGTTGCCCCCTCTGCCTCCATCAGCCAGAAAATGTTTTGGGAGGCTTCAAATTTAAAGAAGATGATTTTAGCTTTTGCTTACAGCCAGGTTCATACTCGTGTAGGGTTTTTTTTTTAATTAAAAAAAAACCTGTGCTTCCAGGGAAGAATGTGTGAAATGAAACAAAGGAAAGTTGTTGACCTTGGAAGTGTTTTTTAAGGGTATGTTTGGTTAAAAGCTTTTCCTTAGTACAAACAACTTCTTAGAATGAGCATTGAAAACTGGGAAAGATTGATGCATCTCGCTTAGAAGAGACAGAAAGAGAAAGGTTTGGGTGGGAGCTTTGTACGTAGCTGGTCAAAGTCGTGTTTTTGGAGCAAGACTATACTTTGTTCCGTAATGCATTCAGAAGTTTATTATGAGCTTTATTGTAATATTGAACAGTTTGGAAATAAAATCATGTATTCATCAGCTCCCTGCAAACGCCTATTATCTTTCCTCCACTTAATGTAGGCTTAAACTGGAGTTGTGTCAAATGTGTGACTTTATCATTTGCAAATTCATGAAGATTTTTAATATTTACTCCGTTTCTTTACAATTCTTCCTGTGTCTAACATTATCAATATTTATCATAGAAGAAAACAGATTCCATTCCCTATATGTTATATCTCTTTTCTAGTTTGGATTGATTTCAGTTTTTGCCTTTTTTTTTCCAGCACTACTTTTATCCACGGAATAAGAGAAAATGTTAGGCTCCTGTCTGCTTTTTAACAGGAGGCACTTGACCTGTGTGTTTGCATGTTGCCAGCCTTTTCTTAGACGTGACTGTTTCAGCCTCCGGACTCATTTCTGTGCTCTCAGATGGATATCAGCTTACAGAAAAGTTGCCCCTGTCTTCACCAGAGCATCAGCCTTTGGAGAAAAGGTAGCCATCATTGACCAAAGAGGAGAACACACCTACAGAGATTTGTACGCTCGAAGTCTTTGCCTCTCCCAGAAAATCTGCAAGGCCCTTGGAAACTCAGAGGGTGACCTGAAGGGCGAACGGATCTCCTTCTTATGCCCCAACGATGCTTCCTATGTCGTGGCCCAGTGGGCTACCTGGATGAGTGGAGGCATTGCTGTGCCTCTGTGCAGGAAGCACCCTGTGTCAGAACTGGAGTACTTCATCCGGGACTCTCAGAGTGGCCTTCTGCTCGCTGAGGAGGAGTTGGAGGAGAGAATGGCCCCTGCAGCCCAGAAACTGGGAGTGCCTCTACTCTCACTTCCCCGCTCCGGGAAGGGGGAAGGGAGAACGGAGGGATCTGCTGGAGATGCCGGTTGCCCCATTTCGGAGTGGGAGGACAGAGGGGCCATGATCATCTACACCAGTGGGACCACGGGAAGGCCCAAGGGGGTCCTAAGCAGCCACCAGAACGTCCATGCTATGGTGAGTCGATCGTTGGTTCTTCTGCATTGCGGCTCACTTAAGAATTGTGAGGATGGAACAGTTGGTTCCAAGGAATCTGCGGTCTGTGCAATTCTGCTTTTCCTCCTGGTACTGAATGTGGCTTAATTGTCCTCGCAGATCACCGGGCTGGTCGAGAAATGGGCCTGGACAAACGATGATGTCATTCTCCACGTCCTGCCCTTGCATCATGTCCATGGGGTGGTCAACAAACTGCTGTGCCCCCTCTGGGTGGGGGCCACCTGCATCATGCTGCCCGAGTTCAGTGCAGAAAGGGTAAGTGGGCTGGGATGGGAGGGGCCGCTTCCTCCCCTTCAAATAGCAAAGACCGGAAATTTGGTCTCCCCCCCGTCTCCCCCCCCAATTGGACAGTTCTGTAGCACTTGGTCAGGGTTATAGATTTGTATATTTTTGTTTGCCTTTGATGGTGTGTGATTTTTTTTTTTTTTAAATAGGAAAAGGCACGAGACCCTCTAAGTGGGTTTTAGTTCTTAGCAGATTTTCTGGGGAGGGGGTGATTCGCCTCTTGCAGTCAAGGGGCTCTTTGAAGTGTTTGCTGGTCGGCCTCCCCCGCATCTCCCTCGGGTTGGTGGGTTTCCCGCTGTGGCAGCAACACAAACCTTGTGACAGATGCTGAGATTGTGGCTCCAGGACTGGCTGGAGCTTTGATGCCTCCACTTTATCGCCGAGGGAGCCCCAGGAAAGCAGATGAAAGGCCCAGCGCAGCAGTTCCGTTGTGGTGAACTGCTTGCGGGGAGGATGCCGAGAGCCAAGGATTTGACCGGGACATTTATGCCCGGAAGCCTCTCTCGGCCTTGACGGTGTGATGAAAAAGGAGGGGCCGTGCTTCACCTGCAGAGTGGAACACCAGGGCAACCGTAGCAGAACCTCTCTCCTGTCGGTTCATCCCCTCCCAGCCAGGGTTACTGTCTCCGTGTGACGTGCTGGTTAAAACGCTTGTGCGGCCAGGAAAAGCCGTCGTCAGGAAATGCCCTCCCGGCTGGTCTCTTGAACAGGGAGACTTCCTAGCTGTTCCTTCTGTGGGAGCCGCTGAGCTTGGAGAGATGCTCCAGCCTTGGTGGCTCACTGAAGGAGGCCGCCCCGGCTGCCGCTCTCGAGCTCTGGCCCTCCCGTTCTCCTTCACTGAAGTCAAAGTGGCAATGTGCAAATCTGTCTCCACAGCAGCTGCCGCTTTGCATCCCCTGCGGGGTTTCAGCCTAGGATAGGTGCCTGCCAAGAGGGCTGCATTGCCAAGGGAAGGCAGCCAACCCCGCTCTGGCTTACTGTGCTCCTCTGCCAGCCCCCTCCACTTGCGGCCCCCTGCTGAGGGCTGCGGCCATCTGAAAGGGTTCAAAACTAGCCTCCCTTCTCCAACCGGGGCTGTTTCTGCAAGCATTGAATCAACGGAAGAGCTGGAGTCCTGGGTGCTCCATCACTGGAGGTCTTTCAAGAAAAGGTTGGAGCACTGTTTCTCTGGGGTGACCTAAGGACTCCTGCCTTGGGGGCGGGGTTGGACTAGGAGGTGCCCAAGGACCCCTCCAGCCCTGAGATTCTGCGAGTTGTGGGAGGCAGGCTGGGCTGAGGCCCCCCTTGGGCTGTGCCAGTCGAGGGCAAGCGCCGGCAGCTCTCCAGAAGGTCCTTTGCTGGGCCAGCATCATTGTCTGGGTGTGAGAAGGACGGGCCAGAGACCAGCCGCCTGCCTGTTGTCCTACGTGCAGAGAAGAAGAAGAAGCAGCGTTGTCCAGCGAGCCTTTGTGTTGCTTTGCTGTTGTTTACTCTTTCCCCTGTCATTATTTGTGCCAGAGGCTCCCGAGGGAAGTGTTTTCATTGACGTGACAAAGGAAGTGCAGGAGGGCAAACGGTGCTTTCTTGTTGCGTTTAACACAAGTTCTCTTTAGATTCCTGCCTATTTACAAAGTGCCCTTTGCTTCCAGAATTGGCCCTCAGCAAAGCTGCGGTGTGTTTCACCGGAGGATTTCTCAGAAGGAGCTCTGGGTTTTCCTTCAGCCTTTTGTGTTTCTGTTTCTCTGCACCTCCAAAGAGCAGTCAATTACAGAGTGATATAAAGGAGCCGCAGCAGCTTTGATGGCCGACATGCCAATCAACGCAAAGTCAGGACTAGCCTCTAAAGCAGCGGCTGCCGCCACCGAATCTGCCTTGAGTGATACTGGCACGGGTTCAGGAGAAACCGCAGCAGTGCACCCAACCTTCCTAATCGCTAACAACACTTCATTATGTGCATTAAATACTTTATTATTACAGTGTTCATTAGATTACTTAATTCGCAGCATGGCCCCCTGGTTGTAGATTGTAGATATGGGGGGGGAGTCGAGTCATTTGCCTACCCTGTCCGGTGCAGGGCCCAATGCGGCCAGGCCTCCGCGTACCCCGGCCTTGATTTCCTTGCCATCTGTCCGGGAATCTGTCAGAAGCAGCTGGAGCGTTTAACGGAACGCTGTCTGGGGCGGCTCCCCTTGACAGGACGGGCGGTGGCAGAATGAGGCCCACGGAAGCTGCCCTTCACTCGGCACCAAAAGTTTCTGTGGGGCCTCAGGGGGGGGGGCTCCGTGGGGGCAGCAGCCAAGACGAAAAGGCCGGGGCCTCCTTTCAGGAGTTCATCCGAGAGACGGGCCTTTCTGGGTCAGGGGACGTCCCGACTGGCTCCCATTCTGCTGTCTTCACTTTTAACTCAGCCCAGAAGTGGGAAAAGGAGCGTGGAGCACAGGTTTTGCTTCAGGACGAGACTGGCACCGATCGGGGAGGCTCTTCCGTCTTTCTGAGGCTGCTGTCCCAGCTCCCTTGCCTCCCCCCCCCGCCCCCGGGTCAGCAGGCTGGGAGACCCAAACAGATGGCTTGCAGAGAGAGATTTTGCAGGGAGGCCGAGGCCCTTATCCTGCCCTGGCTTAAGCCTGTGACCGGCTGCTTGGCTTGAGGCATCTCCCTGCCGAACAGGGGAGAGGAATTGGATTCCGAAAAAAGGAAGGACAACTTCTGCAATCTCATCTAATCCTCTTCCCATAAATATTCATCTTATTTCCTGTCAGCAGAAACTTGACATGACGCCCAGCTCCCTCCAAATTTGACTGTTCTTGGAGAGTTCTGCCTGTCCTCCCCCCCCCCCCCCCCGCACCATGAAATTGATTCCGGTTTTTCTCTCCTGCTTCCTGCTCGGAGGGGGATGCTGGCATTTGAGGGGCAGCCACCAGTGGTCGATTTCCTATTTCTATTTCTGAAATCCCCCCTTGGAAAAAATAAGTTATTGTTTTCCTTTCCTTCTTTTTCAGAACTGCCATTTGTCCTCAGCTTCTGCTGCAGAGTAATGCCTTTTGATGTCGAAAGTGGAGAAGGGAAGAAGGGAGGGAGAGATTATTAAGGGGAAAAATAGGAAACTGGAGCCTGTCATATTTTGTTAGATTCCTGAGGCCGGGGAAAGTGTTTGCTCCTTTGAATGTGCCATCAGCAGAGCGGGGGCTTTAGAAGTGGAGGTAGCCCGCAACTCGGAAGACATAACTAAGCGGAGAGATGAAGGCATGATTAAAACCGAGCCGTGCTCAGCACAGAAACCGTCTGAGGGTGTAGCAGACAGCGAGGAAGCCCCCCCGGAGGAAGCTGGGTCCCTCTGTGGGCATCCAAGCATCCCCCCCGGGCCTAACGTGGCAGCCCGGTTCTCTGGTCGAGAGGGGTTGTGCCCCTGCCTGCTTCTTGACCTGGCACGGGCCCTCCCTGCCCCCGTGCTGACCCCTGGACTTGGCTGCCAGGTGGGTCTCCGTGGTTTTGTTTGCTCTTCTGGCATTTGGCTTGAGTTGGCTGCTCTCCCCAGTCAAGTCAGGGTGCCCCCCAAGGGAGAGAAGGCGGCAGTCAGCGTGCTGAGGGAGGGCAGCGGGGAGGGGGCTCCGAGGCCGGGAGGGTCCAGGGGATCATGCTGGGAGCGGAGGGGGCTCAGCTGGGTCGCTTGTGTTGTCAAGGGGATCCTGAGCTGTCTGGATTAACGGGAAAGCGTTGAGGGCTTCCGGAACGCCCAGCCAGCACGGCTTTCCCAGAGCAGAGCATCAGCCCATCCTGCCTGGTAATGCCAGCACTGACTGGCAGGAGCCCCCAGCCTTCCCGCAGGAGAGGCTCTTATTGGGCAGACCGAGGAGAGCTCGGCTCTGTTCCCTTGGTGGCCTCACCCGGCTCAGCTTCCGGAGAGGTCAGATGGAGGCTCCCCCCGCAGCCGAGTATTCTGGGGAATACGTTTATCCTGTCCCAGCGCTACATGCCCAGGGAATAAACGTCGGCTGCCGAAGAAGGAACCCTCCGCCCAGGGCCCCTTCGGGGATGGCTCCCACAGAAGCCGATGAGGAGCCTTCGCTCTCCACTAAAATCCTCGCCTTCCCTCCCTCTGCGGGGGACTAGAAGATGCCCTCCGCTTCCTCCTCCTCTTTCAGGCAGCCCAGCTCCTCACCTGCCGCCTTTGTCTCTCCTTTTCCTACCCACCTGTGCTTCGGCCAATGCCCGCCATCACGAGTTGAGTCCCAATTTGTTCACGCTTAACCTTTAACAAAGAACCAAGTATAGGGCGGTGGGCTTTGGCGGTGGGAGTGGAGGAAGCAGCAGCCTTGGGGCCTGCCTTTCCCCCGTGCAGGCGACTTTGCGCCCAAGAAGGCTGGAAGGCCCCCAAGTGTCATGAGTTGTTAGGAAATACATTTGTCAGCAACAGGATGGGAAAGGCTGCCATAACAGAGCCGAGACCGCCCTTTATTTATTCATAGGTTTTTCGTTCTTCCTTAGCTCGCTGGGGGAGGCCAGCGGCAGAGTTGGGGGCAAATTAGCCAAGCTTAAATATTCATGACGAGGCTCGGCTGACTCCTCGGGCTGACAGCTTGGGGAGGCCCCAGTGATCTGCCTGGATGGGAAGATTTGACTCTGTCACAGGGCATTGGGGACCAGCATTCGCCCTGCTTAGTGTGGCTTAGTGCCGGCTGGTGGTTTAGCTCCCCAATGACCTGATGCTCCCTCTGTGGACTCTTCCTCCTCTGGGTGCTGCCTGCGGCAGAGCCCCGAGCGCCTGTGGGCCTTTGGGCAGAGGGATCTCCCACGTGTGCAGGTGGTGAAGCTGCCGCTTCCCCTTTCTTCCTGCCAGGTCTGGGAAGCCCTGCTCAGTCTCCAGCCCCCCCGGGTCAACGTCTTCATGGCAGTGCCAACCATTTACAGCAAACTGATCGCCTACTACGTGGAGCATTTCTCTCAGCCACGGGTCCAGGACTTCATCCATGCCGTGTGCCAGGATCATATCCGGTAGGTGAGCCCTTTTTGTCTCATTCCAGCGGAGCAGCCCGGCCCTTTCTTCGACCCAAAGGCCCGGGGTCCCCTCTCCACCTGCCCTTCGGGGCAGTCGGATCTTCTCCAAGCCTTCGCAGGGAGCCTGAAACTAAACCCTTTCTCGCCCAGAACTTCCTGGTGGAGCTGGAGGCTGGGCTGTCCCCACCGGGAAGTGAGCTCAATCCAAGGCAGCCTAGGGAAAACGCCAGCTTTCAACCCAAAGGGCTTAGGACCCGGGTGGGGTTGGGCTGCCGCCTCCTCCTCCACTCATCGACCCATCCCTGGAGATTGTTCTTCCGAGCCTTTTCCTTGGCAAGCGCCATGAGCCACCCGCCTGGTGTCATTATGGCTGCCTTGCAGGGCAAGCCCAGAGCCAGTACGGTTAACAGGGATATTTCTAACCAAGAGCCATTGCTTTTTATGGTCCATTTTGGAGCTGTGGGGATGAATGGAAAACAGGTCTCGGGCTGGAGGGAGCCTTGGGGCTCAGTGAGTGATGCTACCTGCCTTTCCAAGGCCATCGGAGGCCCAGCAGCGTTGCACTCCCTGCGGGGGCCCAGCCAGGCGGTGAGAGGGGATTTCCCCTGGAAGGCTGGAGCTGGTCCTCCCCCTGCGGACCCTGCGGACCCTCTGAGTGCAGCTTTCCCTGCGAGAGCAGAAGCAGGGCTTGCCCAGCCTCACCACGGCTGCCACTCTGGATTCCAGGGTGGAAACGCTGAGCCCGTTCCCTCTTCTGGCAGCCGTCCAGGCCTCGCGCTGACGTTCCCACCTTGTAAGATCTCCTGGCGGTACACGGCGATGGCTGTGGGGCATCTGGCTTCAGGGCAGGCTGGCCTGAGGAAGTGGCGCACGGCTTCCTGGCCTGGGCCTGGTCCAGAGGCGATTCCCACAGCCAGGCGTGTGAAGGGGGCTTCCTGCTTTGCCCTGGCTGCGGGAGTCCCTCCCGAGAGGCTGACCTCCCTGTTGGAAAGAGGCCCCGGTGCTCCCTGTCGCTCCTTGGCTTGAGCTGGCAGCAGGTCCTCTGCCCCCCTGCTTGCAAGGTGCCTGATGGCCGCTGGCCTTTCTGCTTTCAGGTTGATGGTCTCGGGCTCCTCGGCCCTCCCAGTGCCAATCCTAGAAAAATGGAAGAGCCTCACGGGGCACGTCCTCCTGGAGAGATACGGGATGACGGAGATTGGGATGGCCCTTTCCAACCCACTGCACGGTCCTCGTGTTCCAGGTGAGGCTCTGGGGAGAGTTTGCAAACTGCTTCAAAGCTCGTGGGGCATCACTTTTGATCCTGCACGTTGTAGGCATGAAAAGAAGATGGATCCCTCAAGGCTGCAGTAGCAGGACCTGGGTGGAGCACCATGAGGCAAAGCCAGGCTTCTCCCCCCCCCCCCCCCGGAGACCGCAGACGGTCCCTGCTTTTAATTAGCACGTGTCCCAACCAACCCCTGGAACCCCCCAAGGCCCAGGGACGGCTCCTTGATCATCGGGAGGGTCCGTAATGCTCTCCTCTTGGAGATCCTGGCCTACAGGCTGACCTTTCGCTCATTTCTCCTGAGGGCAAAGCAGTGGACGTGGAGGACTGGAAGAGTAAAGTCACCACCCCACCCCCCAAATTAAGGACATACAATCTTTGCAAGGGGTACAAAAATATACATTAAGCCGGCTCTGTAGTCCCGTTTTCTGCTGCAAGACCCTTTCTGTGAGAAACGTCCGCACGAGTGTAAGGAGCCCCACATCCCCTCTGTGGGTTTCCCAGAGACATTTGGGGGGGAGGGTTAGACAGACTGGCCTTTTCACTTCCATAAGGTCCAGTTCGGCAGCTTTGAGGGTTGCGTGGACCGAAGCCTTGGAATTTTTCTATGCAGGGCAGATGCTTGCCTTCCTTGTAGTGCGGCCCCTCCGGAAGCTTCCATGTGTCACGAAGCTTTCGGGGGGGCCACGGTACAAGGAAGATCTCTCAGGCAGTGGGTCTTTTTCAGGTGAGCCAGACTCGCCCGAGCTGCATTACCTGAATCCCCCTCCAACATCCCATTTATCACTGAACTCGGCTTGTGTTTCGCCCTTCAAAAAAACAACAATCCCCCGAGGCAGTTAATTATCTCTGCTGCTCTGCCTTGAGGTATGTTTGATGAAGGGCAAACCCCAAATGGAGTTTGGTGATCAGCTGAATCTCGGAGATGTGCCTTGCCGCTGCAAACAATTGGCACTCTTAAGGGGTTCGGGGTAGGTAGCAACGGTCCTGCCTCACCCGCTTCCACTCGGCAATGGGAGGAGGAGGAGGAGGAGGAGGTTGGGAACAGTATTGGGAGAGGCAGGAGCTTCAGCACTGGACAGCTCCTTCTGCAGGCGGTTGAGTGAGCAGGCCCTGCCGTGTCCATATGGAACTTGGCCGAGGGGCAACGCTCCCTCCCGCTTTCGTGGGCTTCTCTCTCTCTCTGGTGCAGGCAGATGCCCGAGCAGAGGCATCCATGGGTAGAAAGGTTAATGCGGTAGCCATCACAGTGCAGTCAAAGGTCCTCCTGTCTTCAACGTGAGCTTTGATGGCACCATTGCCGCTGCCATCTTGGTGCGGCCTCCGTCCTTTGAGGGAGAGCCCCTGGGTCCCTTGCCTGGGTGTTTCACCGCTTGCTCTACTTGTCCTCCCCAGGTGTGCTTGGGCATGTTCTTCTTATGTCCCCTTGTTGCCCTTGCGGAGGCATCTCCCTTTTTCCAGCTTTCCCCCCCCCCCCCCCCCCCCCCCCCTTCCCCCAATCCCCCTTGGTGTTGTTACCATGAAGGGAGATGAATAATTCATGGGCACTGAATGCCTCGCTGGGCCTAATCACCACTTTAATTGGAGGTTTAGATCAGAGGTGGCTAATAGCTCCTGCAGAGGAGGCTCCTTCCTTGGTTGTTGACAGCCAGCGTGTCAGGCGCTTGGTTGTTGGCCTGTTTCAAGTCTCCCAGGACATCGCCATGCCTAGCAGCCTCCCGGTCCCCCGACACCAGAGGACACGCAGCCCAGGGCCAATTAAAGGTATCAGGGAAAGGCTGACAACTAACTTAAACAGAGGAGGAGCCGGGCGACTAATAGGGTCACTCCTGGCGCTGACAGCTGCCTGTCTCGGGATGGTGGTGGAGAGCCAGCTTGACAAAGGTCCAAGAGCCCTTCCCTCGCAGGGCCAGCGCTTTCTTCCTGGTTCCCTGGTTAAATGCCAGAAGTAAAAAAGACACCCGAAGGCTGCTTCAAATGATTTCTTTAACTCTGGATGTGCTTTTGACTCCCCTTGGCTCCCCTCCCCTATCTCCGCTTGCCTCGCCCAGGAGCCGGATTGGACCCTCCGTTACCCAGGCAGACTTAATTTTTAAATGTCACTTGGGCCCCCAAAGCGAGAGGTATTGTCTTCACACAAAGACTTTTAATTGCCCTGCCATCCTGGTATCACTATAATTAACATTGTCTGCATTTCCCAGCTTTTCAGAGACCTCCCCTTACAAAGCCTTGTCACTTGGAGGGGTGGAGGAGGGAAGCCATCAGGCGGCTCGCTGTGAAGCTTCCTTTATGGAGGTGTCTCTTTGGGTAGCCCAGAAACGGAAGGAGACAACTAAAGACCGGCTGTTTCCTCCCGGGGGGGGGGGGGGAATGGCAGCCTCGTGGAGGGGGTTCTCGCCCCTTTGCCATAAGGGGAGCAAAGTTAAGTTGCTGAGCTGCCACTGGAGCACCAACCACCCTTGCAACCTGGCCATAAATGTTCTGCAAGAAGTCTCGCCCCCTCGTTCCCCCTTTATAATTGGCGTTGGAGGAATCGGGGTCGAAGCCCAGCGGTGTCCTCGGGGGGCTGGGGGCTGGGGAGGGCATCTAATCGGCGGCTAATTGGCACAACGCAGTCCAGAGGGCCAGGGTGGAACCTTTCCTCCGGGTGTGTTTGAGCAAACGACCTGGGACTCAGTCCCTCTCACCTGCTGGGCGACTCCCAGGGCTCGTTTCCTGTTGGGCTCTTCTCATCAGCTTTCCCTTTCTCCCCCTTTTCCCTTCTCCAGGATCGGTCGGGACTCCGCTGCCCGGAGTTAAGGTGCGCGTGGCCACTGGAAGCTGGACCAAGGATGATTCTGCGTTCTGCATCCACGCTGAAGGGGACGAGATGGGCACAACGGTAATTCAGTGGGCCTGGGGGGGATCAACGAGGCCTTGAGGGCCAGTGGGGGCTTCCTTGCTGTTTGCCATGTTGACCCCATCTTGCAGCTGAGGGGGAAGAAATGAGCTGAACCAGACACGCTTTGTGTGTGGAAGACACAACACACACACACACACCCAGCTCCATTTTGAGTCTGTCCAGTTCAGGTCCCCAAGATAGAGCGGACCCCACTTTGCTCTCCTGGAAATCTTCACCATGTCTTGCTCTACACCAAAAAGGCCCATGTGCCTCCTCACCAAGGCTCCTTCTGCTCTGGTTTTCCGTAACTCTTGGCACTCTGCTCTGTTTCTTCCTGCGAGTCGCGTTGGCCATGGAGGCTGCCCGTTGGTCACCCTTGGCTGGCCCATGAATGCCCCTGCTGCCTTGCCAGGCGCTGATCCAATGATCCAGCTGATGCCCCTTTTCCAGGGGACTTCCCCACTTCCTGCCCAGGGAGGCATGTCTGAACAGGGCCCAGGAATCCCCTTATGGAGCAGGGAGACGCTCCCTGCTTTCCTGGGTCATTTGAGTTGTAAGAAGGGCCTGGACACACACACACACACACACACACACACACCTCAGAGGCAGCATTTGCTCCTACTTCCTCGCTCTCTGCCAGCTGGGGGCAAAACGGTCTTAATCTTCACTGCATAAATCGTCAACACTTTAAACGGAGCTTTTCAGTTTGCAGGTCTTCAAGGCAGCTTACATCCTGGAATAAAATTATTCATAATAATAATAATAATAAGGTCCACATTTGACTGAAAGCAAACAATCAAACATTATTCAGCCAGCAGAAATAAGGGAAGATTACAGTAGCAATAGAGATTACGGTATTATTGCTAGCTGGCAGGGTGAAAGAATAAAATAGTTTTGATGTGGAAGGAAGCCTCAGCGGCCACTTCTGAGCTTCGGTGCTGCTACAGAGAAGGCACACGGTTGCTCAATGAACCTGGAAAAAAAGATTTTGGATGATCATCTTAACTTTATATGCGTGTTTCATATAAAGGATAACATTTCTTCAAAATATACAATCATAATTAAAAGTTTATATTATCTCAACCCCTGTTAAAATACAATCTGCCTCCAAAAGTAATGATTGGTTATGCTCTGAACTATTTAGCCTTTGTTTCCAAAGTTCCTCAGTGCGATTTACAAGATTCAACCTGCAGCTGGAAGGTGGGAAGTCAGGTAGCAAAGGAACACCTGTGTTTAGCACCCCCTCTCCAGTGTCCTAGACTAAGCTAGCAACACCAGAATTGAATTGAGCTGGCCTAAGATAAATTTCCATACAGCCATTTCAGAAATCATGAAGGTATAGCAAAATCATGTTGGCTTTCTTTGAGGTTCTCCTCTGAGGCTTTGTTGGTACATCCTACTGCCTCCAGAAGGCCTGGTCAGAGGTTGTAAGCAGCTTAACTATTTTAAAATGTAGAATGTCACTGCAGGTGGCAACGTTGGCTCTTGCCTGATCGAGGAAATGCTAAAAGACCCAGACCTGATTAGACAGGGGGAGGGGAGG